GATTCGATGCCCGAGGCTCCCATCGAACGATTCAGTAAAGCTTCGCCTCACGTCCACTCGTGTCGCCAATGCGCATTCGGGATCCCTCTCTGATTAAAGGCTGCCAAAGCAGGAAGAGGGCTTGGCAGCGCGAAGGCCAATAGCCAATCAATCACCAGTCATCACTCGCGTTACAGCCCCCCCAACGGTCCCCAGTTCTGAAAAGCTGCATTTCGCAGAACTTGCTTCTATCCGAGCAGCCAAGCATGACTGATCGTGGCTTTGGGAATAGTTTCACATAGAAAGTTGGTTCGGCGCCCATCAGAACAGTTGGTGTTGCGTGCAGCAGTTCAGCAAGAGCCGTGGCTGACATCTGTGCGCAAGGAAACTTCAAGGGTGTTTGAATGAGCCTTTGCCGCCAACAGCTTGAATTTGCAATCTCACCACGGCCTCTGCTATCTGACTTCTTTCATTGGTTGGGGCTTTTTCGCGGTGATATTCTGGCGGTTGTTCCCGAGTCTTGGATAGTGCGGCCACCGGTCTCACGTGAGAGGATTCAGCAGTTGCAACGCAGGTGTCCGGCAAAGGGTTCAGAAGCACGAGGGCTCCACAGCATACAATATGTCCCTGCAGATTTGGCAAATCCAACATCTCAGTGCATGCCAACGAAAACTTGAATACAATGGTGATTCTCCCACAAGAACCAAAAAGGGTCAAGATTTGGGTTGTAGAATGCCTTCTTGACCATATCCCGAGCAAGCCGGGGTGCCTAAGTGTTTCTCCTGGAGTCCGGATCCAGGTGTCCAGATGGGTTGCAAAGTCGCCTGTTTCGCGGGTGTTTTGAACTCATGTGACTGACCCTGTTTCCTATCTACACACAACACCTGTAGAATGATGCCGCCCTGTGGCCAAGCAAGTGCCTTTACTCGCCCCTGTCCGTCAGAAACCATTGGATCTGGAAGCAGGTGCATTAAGCCGTCCTCAAGCCTTGGTGACCAAGAACAACCCATGCCAAACATGAGACACTGGTTCCGTGGTCGTGTTTGGCTTCGTCTTACGATCCACGTCTTTTCGTACGAATGAATTACTGGTGCACTAACAGTTGGTCACTAAGCAACCTCTGAGACAGTTTCTGGAGAACTCTGGAGGCGCTTCTTGTCAAATGCTTCCTGCTCTCCTCCCCGCTATTTCTGTGCAATTCGTGAGAAGGACCAACACCTCTCAGTGGACGTCAGTGGACCGCCATGCTGTGTTCTATCTTTCTATCTTTCAGACATGAATAGGGAAAGCCCATGCCTCGCCATGGAAAGGGCTGTGAAACAGTGCGCAAATGCCAGTGTTTGCGCATTGGTTTTCAGGAGTGCTGCGCACAATGTGGATTCGCAGTCTTACAACAACCTCCAATTAGGTTGTGTCTCCTGCCGGCGTGTCCTACCATCTCATCACCCGCGCCCCACTTGCTCGATCAACAAACCCTCAGACTTGACTGGGCCTGGCCATCGGTTGTAATTAAAACATAGCTTGTGCCGTCATTCGAAGCGCCGCACCCCCCCCCTGACACAACATGTTCCCCAACGACCTGTGTAGCATCGTGTAGAACAGTCACACTCCGCGTCAAACATCACTCCGCGGCCGTCTCAAGGGGGTGACGTTTCGTATGTGAGACAAACCCTAGGCCGCCCAGACCTGAAGTTCAAGTGTTGCTCTCTCTGTGCCTGGGACTGCGCCCTGAAAATACGGGAAATGCTCCAACATCACAAGCTGTTGACAGGAAATTGGTGTAATCAAAACAATGGAAATGGCGGAAATGTTTGACGAATCAAGCAGGTCGGTCCTGAGCACAAGCACAACCATCCTGACAAACAATCGGCAACAGTAAGCCACGAGAACTAACAAGTATCTGGGAGCAATAAGCGACGATCTGCGACCCGAAGTATAATAAGCAACCCAGCCAATTACCAAAGAAGCAAACCCTGGCGCTTCACATCCGGTCGCATCCTCAAGCCAGGCGTCGCCCGTGGCCAGTGGTCAGCTGGGATTCTAAGGCCAAGCAAGGTGCCATGGTCATACTGGAGACGTTGAGAATCTGATCGACTCGCTCAAATGCTGCAGAGCATGAACAGCGGTTCGTTGCTGACTTCAAGTTCCAAGTACCTTTCACGATGATAACTCTGCTGCAGAAGAACCGTCGTTGGCATACTGAAAAATGAGATTGATCCTGCCTTCGCTGAAAGCTCAATCGGCTGGACAAAGGACCCAAAAAGCCAAGGCTTGCCCACATGCTATGAACAAGTAGCACGCCCTGGATGTTCAAGACTAAAGCCTTTCGACAAATCTGGCACAGGGTGCTTCTTGGGGCTACGCTGTTTACCACAGTTTGAAGGGAAGCAAGAGGCAACACAGCCGAATTGTGTGTGGAGTTTGCCGAATTTTGGCACATGCCGATAGGCTCGGCGGAGTGGCCAAGCACCCAGCAAGGCTTCCCCGAGCCACGTGAGCCACCGCTCCGGTCGCCCTTCTGCGCGAGTGGCGCGTCCGCCGAGCGCGTGCGGAAGCGCAACAAACGCGAAAGACAACATCCAACGGCGTGCAAGAATGCGCGGCAGCCGAAAACGACGTTTCAAATCGAAACTGGATTGTAGCTGAGTGAAGGGGCTGCACCGGATATCCCACAATCAAATGCTCCCAAAAAGGGATCTAAGGAGTGAGGGCCCGCCGGATCTCTCTCTCGAGTTTGGATCGAAAAACTGCGACGACGGAGGCTCCGCGCCTCAAATTGCACCTGGTCTTCGCGTCGATCGCAACCAAGGACTTGGCCCAGTTCACAGCGGATTTCACAGGGAACCCCTCCAAACGAAATCAAACACGAAGCCCATTCAGCTCACGCAAAATAGATGTCGGCTTCAGTCAAGCCCTGCTGACGTGCAACTTGTCTGTTTTTGACCCACTTGGACACAACGTGCCAACATGACACAAGGTGGGTTACCGCTGGCACACAAGCTGGGGGGTGGGGCGAAAGCCCTTACACAGACACAACATGCCCTCCAAGATGAAGATGTTTTGCTGGTCACCTTGAAGCTGCCAACAGGCAAAGACCATTGTGCTTGCTATATGGCTGCATCTGCCCACACGCTTCTCGCCGCTTCGCATGCTATGGGATGTGAGCTGCGATCAGCCCAGCAGGAAACGTTGAAACGCATTGGCTGGTTCCAAAAAATTGAGCATTTTCCAGATGATCTGCGACCAGAAATCTGGACTGGCGCGCGATCCAGGCGGCACAAATGAGAAGTTCTTGCTGGTGGAGGCCCAAATGTGCCTAATCGCTTTTTCTATCAGACTCCTTACCCTTTCAAGGGCAACCCGAAACCCTTTTCAAAAGCACATTGTTCTTCCAGAAGGCGCCCGTGCTCCAAGCTGTGCCACCCCCGTGTGACAGTTGAGTCCGTCTCAAAAGCAGGAAGCGCCGGTAAATGAGTTGCTTCAAGTTTGTCCCTACAACTGGCTTGGCTTTCTTGATCCCCTTCTCATCTTTAGAGTTACCATCGACATTGAACCGGAGGGCTCCACCTGAATGAGCGGCGGTCTCCTTTACAAAGGCAGCGCTTGTCAGGTCCACAACAGCTTCCTGTAACTTCACTGATGAGACTGGTGAGGGAAGCCATTTCTTGAGCCGGGACGCACGATGCAACACATAGTGACAAAGTGCAGCTTCGTTGCTACCAACTGAAGGCGTTTGTGCATTGCTCAAATAGAACGTTCCAGGAAATCAGTACGGCACCTCTCCGAAACCCCAACACACGTCTTTTTTCATGGCGAGATTCCCCCCTTTTCTGTACGACCTCTTGAAGTCGACCGGCCACATCCACGAAACTGCGGCGAGGCACAGAGGCAGGCACAAGGCACTCATCCACAAATTCACTGCAGCAGAATCCTAACCTCTTCATCTCTTCCCCCTGTTTTCAAGTGCCCTTTTTAACAAACAGGTTTCTCCCCAACCAAAAACAAGTTTCCCGTAGTTTAGAAGACTAGCCCATAAAAAAATAAAAATGAAAATGAATCTAATCCGGCAAATGTCCCGCTGACCCCAACTCCGGTTGCATCGGGGGACAGTTTAGATTCAATAATTACTAAACCAATACTTAACCCAATGATCAACCAATAGGAAACCGATAGCAAACCAAAATGTTAACCAAGTCGAAACCAGCACAGAATCCGAAAAATGACATATGCACATAGGTGTGTGTATACGCAATATGGTTCAATTCCTCACTCGGAAGTTGCCATTTTGAGCGATTCTTGGGGCCCGGGAAGGAACCCCATTTGGACTCTGCGGAACGCTGGTCGCTAGGCCTTGTCCCGACACATTTCTTCCGCCCGAATCTCTCTATTTGCGGAGGGAAAAATTAACCTGTTCTCAGGGGGAAGAGATTACCCCCTGGTGCTCCAAGGAGACTGTACGAGACGGATCGGGCGAACCGCTTCCTTCCGCACAAGCTCCCAAAGGTCACACGCAAGTTCAGTTCTGCAAGCAAGGCCCCGACAAGGCAAGTCGATCCAGGGCTGTCTGAAAGTGACAATTCGCACCACGGAATCAAGAAGAGTGCCCAAAACCGAAGCTTCTATCGTGATCGTCGATTCCCCAGAAGCGTCCGTAGAATTTGGACAGCGTCCGAACTGATTCCGTAAAGCAGAAAAGTGAATATGGCCCAACAGCTGGCATGCCTTTCGAAGCAGTGCCAAAGGCAGGCCTTCCCATGCCTTTCCGTATTGCTCGGTCATGGCTGCACAAATGAGCATACTTCTTGACGATTCCAAGTAAAAACATGGAAAAGCTGCACCAATGCAAGTGCCGCATTGGCACACTGGGTTCCACCTCAGAATGAGATTCTCTAACCGACGTGGACCATCGTAGACCTGCAGCAAGGAATCCCACTTTGGAGTTGGGTATGCAACGGAAGGCTCCCTTGGGCAGTATGCCGTCTGCCCGCCCCTGACAAAGGTTTTTCTTGAGAAACTACAAACTTGAGCATACCCTGGCACGACAACGATGCCCGCCGGCAAGCAATCCTCAGCCAGCGAATCGGGCAGCTGACCGAATCAAGTGTTTACGCGGAGAAGGAACAGCTCAGCAGTACTGCCGAATCTGCTCCTCTGTGTCTGCTACAGGGAGAGGGAGCGAGATCGACCACCATCGCCTCGAACGGGTGATGTGAGCCGCCAGCACACCCCGTATTTGGAAGTGCCGCTTGGTGTGCCTAACGCGGGTCAAGGCACTTGAAAAGAGGCAGGCCATTGCAAGGGCTGTGCTGTTGCCCTGCTCTTGACCGCACGTAATATCTCAGGCTTCACCAAAGAGCTCAAATATGCATCTTGCAACTTCAGAGGTGAAACAAATAGCTCGACGTGTCACTTGGCTCCTCAGCATGCTGCGTCCAACAGCTTCAAAGCCTGTTCATTCCTTCTGCCCCATCCCCTGTACTAGAATGTTCTTGCTTCGCAAAATTTGGCAGCTGCCGTCCAATTGGCAGCTGGTTCAACGTGCCGAAGCCTGAAGCCTGGTGCTCCATAGCAAAGTACCCTCAACGCGATATATCGGCGCAGGCATTATGGGGTATGTCGATTCGGGGCGCCGAGTTTCCGACGGGGACACGGCAACGACGTTGAGCCCTCATAAAATGATACATATTATATATAGCCCGTGTATGTCATGTATATGCGTATATGTAGAATGATCTTGTCGTACAAAGGTAAATTCCCAGCCGTGTTCGACTTGCCTTGAGTCTCTTACCCCTGGAGATGTGACTGATCAAACTGACGTCTCAGACTCATGCATCCCTTCCCCCGAGCATGTGGATCTGTCTACGAGGTTTGACTGTCTAATGGGGCTACCGAAGACTGTACCCAGCCTAATCTTCAAGTAGCATGCCAATGCGCTGGCAAAGAAGGGGCTGCCAAACCCAACTGTTGCCACGGCAAAGTACGTGGGTTGACAAAATGGTGACGCTTTTGCGGGCCCCCGTTGCAGGTACAGAATGACACCTAGTTGCTCAACCCCCGCCTAGATCATACCAACACACAAACACAAACACACATACCTACACACAAACACACCAACACGCAAACACACATACACACAAACCCACCAACACACAAACACGAAACAAAAGAACAACAAAATACTTACACACAAACACGCATACCTACCAAACACACCAACACACAAACACACAAACACACAAACACACAAACACACACAAACACAAAAAACGACACAAACAACAAAAAAAACTCAAAGACAGACACAAACACAGACACGTACACGGACACAGACACAGACACAGACGCAGACACAGACACACAGAAACAGACACAGACACAGACACAGACACAGACACAGACACAAACACAGACACACACACACACACAGCGGTTGTGCAGCCGAAGCGTCATACCTTGCCTCCGCCGGATGCCTCGCAAAGGAAATCGCTGAATGCCCAGCTAAGGTGCCAATGGAATACGTTTACCTCCCATGACCATTCCAGCCTGCAAACCGAAGAAAATTCGGGGGGACCGCCATAAGTTGCCCACAAACCACACTTTCCCTGGCGCATTAGAAACTAGACCACGGTTGGCCCGAAAGCATAACATCGCAAGCGAGGTTGGCCCAACGCTGCAGGATGCGTTCTCTTTTTCTTGCACGAAGCATTCGAACTCACTGCGATGATATGCATGGTGAGAACTCCTCAAACTCCTTGCGATGCTTCGCATAATGCTAACTCCTTGCAACTAGCTCCCACGACGACGACTCCTTGCAATGCCTCTCATGATGATAGTTGCTCTGCGTAAGTTGCTCTGGGCAAGGTGCTCTGCGGAAACTGGTCTGTGCAAGTTGCTCTGCGCAGGTTGCTCCGCGCAAGTTGCTCTGTGCAAGTTGCTCTGTGCAAGTTGCTCCGTGCAAGTTGCTCCGCGCAAGTTGCTCCCTGCAAGTTGCTCCCTGCAAGTTGCTCTGCGCAAGCTGCTCTGCGCAAGTTGTCCTGTGCAAGTTGCTCTGCGCAAGTTGCTTTGCGCACGTTGCTCTGTGCAAGAAGCTCTGTGCAACTGACTCTGTGCAAATGTCTCTGTTCAAGTTGCTCTGTGCAAGTTGTTCTGTGCAAGTTGCTCTGCGCAAGTTTCTCTGCGCAAGTTGCTCTGCGCAAGTTGCTCTGTCAGAGTTGCCCTGCGCAAGTTGCTCTGCGCAAGTTGCTCTGCGCAAGTTGCTCTGCGCAAGTCTGCAAAATTCTCCGCGCAAGATGTTGCACAAGTGGCTCTGCGCAACTGCTCTGTACCAGTTACTCTGCGCAAGTTGCCTATGCAAGTGCTCTGCACAAGTTGCGCTGCGCAAGTCTCTCTGCGCAAGTGTCATTGCGCAAGTGCTCTGCGCAAGTTGCTCTGCGCAAGTCTCCACATCGCTGCCCGCGAGTGCCCTGTGCAAGTTTCTTTGGGCAAGTTGCGATTTTCCAGCTGGAGCTGTCGGAGTGCACTTCCCGTACTACTTTCGCACTTAAAACTTGCGATTTTCAGGCTCCAGCTGCGGGAGTGGGCTTCGCGTACTGCTTTCGTACTTAAAAGTTACGGCTTTCGCTTTGCGAAGCCAGCCCGCGGACCAGGGGGGAATCGAACCCGCGACCTGCCGGTCCCAGGAGCTGGCACGCGAACTACGAGACAACTCCCAAGTTCGAACAGCAAAAATCGCCAAAAAAACCTCGAGTTTTTGCACCTCGACCACGCCGATCCCCGCAAAGGGTCACGCGGGCACCGCAGAAAACGCAAAAAACGTTTTAAAAAAAACTCGAGTTTTTGCACCTCGACCACGCCGATCCCCTGCGGGAGGTCGCGCGAGCACCGCAGAAAACGCAAAAAAAACTCGAGTTTTTGCACCTCGACCACGCCGATCCCCGCAGAGGGTTGCGCGGGCACCGCAGGAAACGCAAACAAAACCTTGAGTTTTGCACGTTTTTGTACCTCGACCACGCCAATCCCCGCAGAGGGTCGATTTTCGTACAGTGTCGTCGGCACTACCCCGCCGCCCTAAGAAGAGATTTTAATTCCTCGCAAGTCAATGTCGTGAGCACGCACTTGCAACTTGCACTTGCAACTTGCACTTGCAGCTTGCACTTGCAATGACTCTCATGACTCCTTGCACTTGCCACTTGCAATGACTCTCATGATGATGACTCTCATGATGATGACTCTCATGATGATGAGTCTCATGATGGTGACTCTCATGATGGTGACTCTGATGAGACTGACTCCTTGCAATGACTCCTTGCAATGACTCCTTGCAACGACTTTCATGATGATGACTCCTTGCAATGACTCTCATGATGACGACTCCTTGCAATGACACCTTGCAATGACTCTCATAAAAACAACTAGGCCTGGGAAGAGCTCAGAGCTTGCGAGGGAACAGGCTGAATGCTTGAAAAGTGATTCAAGATGGCGGTTATCCACGTTCAATTCACTTTAAGGCAAAGTAAAGCATCCAGTTAGTAGGGGCTGCCAAAGTTTAGGCATTCCCTGCTAGGTGGCGATGACAATTGAAACCAAGAGGAGAGGCCCCGCCTCACGGCAACACCAGGCTCCGGCACGCCTGCCCCACACCTCGGACCGGTCCGAGGCGAGTTGGGCTTCTGCCTCCCCAAGTCACAAAATCTCTGGGCTGTGGACCCCCCCAGTACCAAAGAAGAAGACAAGCCCATGTCAAATGGAGCGGCGCTCCAAGCTTTTGGCCCGGGCGAAAAGAGGCACGGCTGGGGCTGGGCTGGGTTTGGAACACTCTGCGAGTTGCGGTTGGCCAGATATATCGCAGGGCAGCCGCGATGTCTGTGAACCTTTCCAAAAGGATCAACCACAGGTTGTCCAGAATTGAACGATCCAGGTATTGGCCTGAGTGCTCTCAGGCGATTCTGGTGAGCGAAAGAAAAGAGCCACGACGTTGTTGGGAGAGTGAAGGAGTTCCGTTTGCCTGCCTGCCCTCAAGGCGTGTGTGTGTGGGTGTGTGTGTGGGTGTGTGTGTGTGTGGTGTGTGTGTGTGTGTGCGGTATGTGTGTGTGTGTGTGGGTGTGTGTGTGTGGTGCGTGTGTGTGTGTGTGGTGTGTGTGTGGTGTGTGTGTATGGTGTGTGTGTGGTGTGTGTGTGTGGTGTGTGTGCGTGGTGTGTGTGGTGTGTGTGTGTGGTGTGTGTGGTATGTGTGGTATGTGTGGTGTGTGTGTGTGGTGTGTGTGGTGTGTGTGGTGTGTGTGGTGTGTGTGTGGTGTGTGTGGTAGTTGTGGTGTGTGTGGTGTGTGTGGTGTGTGTGGTGTGTGTGTGTGTGTCGTGTGTGTGTGTGGTGTGTGTGTGGCATGTGTGGTATGTGTGGTGTGTGTGTGGTGTGTGTGGTGTGTGTGTGTGGTGTGTGTGTGTGGTGTGTGTGTGTGCGGTGTGTGTGTGTGTGGTGTGTGTGTGTGGTGTGTGTGTGTGGTGTGTGTGTGTGGTGTGTGTGGTGTGTGTGGTGTGTGTGGTGTGTGTGGTGTGGGTGTGTGTTGTGGGTGTGTGTGGTGTGTGTGGTGTGTGTGTGGTGTGTGTGGTGTGTGTGGTGTGTGTGGTGTGTGTGTGTGGTGTGTGTGTGTTTGTGTTTTTGTGTTTGTGTGTGTGTTTGTGTGTGTGTGTGTTTGTGTGTGTGTGTGTTTGTTTGTGTGTGTGTTTGTGTGTGTGTGTTTGTTTGTGTGTTTCTGTTTGTGTGTGTTTGTGTGCTTGTGTGTGGTGTGTGTGCGTGTGGTGTGTGTGGTGTGTGGGGTGTGTGTGTGGTGTGTGTGTGGTGTGTGTGCGTGGTGTGTGTGGTGTGTGTGTGTGGTGTGTGTGGTATGTGTGGTATGTGTGGTGTGTGTGTGTGGTGTGTGTGTGGTGTGTGTGTGTGTGGTGTGTGTGTGTGTGGTGTGTGTGGTGTGTGTGTGTGTGGTGTGTGTGTGTGGTGTGTGTGTGTGTTGCGTGGTATGTGTGTGTTGTGTGTGTGTGTTGTGTGTGTGTGTGTTTGTGTTGTGTGTTGTGTGTGGTGTGTTGTGGTCTGTGGTGTGTGGTGTGTGGT